CCCGCGTCCCCTGCATCGGCAGGCGGACCCCCAACCACTGCGCCACCAGGGAAGCACGGCTTTGTTTTTAATCAAAGACAACACAATATCGAATAGTAGTGAGTTGTTAAATATGGTATATCCACGTCATGGCATTTTGTTGTGACACCTTGGCCAAGTTGCTTAATTTCCCTGTGCCTTTTTTCCTTAATAGCTTTCTTGACATATACTTGACATACAATAAACTGCACGTAAAATGTACAATTGATAATAAATTTTGACATATGTATGCACCTGTGAAACCATTACCACAGTCAAGACAATGAACCATCACCCCCAAAGTTTCTTCATGCCACTTTGTAATCCCTTCCTCAGGTTCCTTCCTGCCTCTTTTCCCCACATCCCTAAGCAAATAATGACCTGCTTTTCATCACTATAGATTGGTTTGTATTTAGAGTTTTATATAAATAGAATCATGCATTATGTACTCTCTTTTATTTTGTCTGGCTTCTTTCACTCAGCGTAATTATTCTGAGATTCATCCATGTTGAAGCATGTATCAGAAGTACATTCTGTTTTTATATATATTTTATATATATATATATTTATATATATATATATATCATGGTTTGTTTATTCTTTCACTTATTGATGGATATTTGGGTTGTTTCCAGTTTGGGACTGTTACAAGTAAAGTGGCAAGGAGCATTTGTATATAGTCATTGGGTGGACATATGCTCTTCTTTCTTTTGGGTGAATACCCGGCAGTGGAATAGCTGGGTCATATGGTAGGTGTATGGTTAACTTTTTAAGAAACTGCCAAATTATTTTCCGAGGTAGCTGTAGCATTTACATTCCCGCAAGTATTCCAGTTGTTCCATATCATTGTAAACTTGGTATGGTTAGTCTTAATTTTAGCCATTCAGTTGGTGTATAGTAGGTATCTCAGTGTGGTTTTAACTTGCATTTTCCTAATGACTAATGAATGATATTGGGCATCTTTTCATGTGCATATTTGCCCTTTGTATATCTTTGGTGAAGTGCTTGTTCAAGTCTTTTGCTAAAAATTTTTAATTGGGTTGTTTGTTTTCTTACTAGAAACAAGACCTTCATCATATATACAATTTGTAAATATTTTCTCCCAGGCTTTGGCTTGTCTTTTGAAAACCAGAAATTTTTAATTTTGATGAAGTCGGATTTAGTCATTTCTTTTATAGCTTGTGCTTTTGACATTTTATTTAAGAAATCTTGCCCTACTCCATGTCACAAAGGTTTTCTCTTCTGTTTTCTTCCAGCAGTATTATATTTTTTAGGGTTTACATTTAGAACTATGATCCATTTTGAGTTAATTTTTGCATATGATGTGAGATATGGGTCCAAAAAAATTTTTTTGCACGTGGATTTCCAAAGAAATTGTTTTGTTGAAAAGACAATCCTTTCTCCACTAAATTGCCTTTGCACCTTTGTTGAAATCAGTTGTCCATATACACAGGTCTGTTTCTGGACTCTGCTGTTCTATTGATCTATTCGCCCATCTGTATGCCAAGAACACACTGTCTTGATTACTGTAGCTTTATAATAATAAGTCCAAAAGAATGAGTTGGGAAGTATTCGTTCCTTTTCACTTTTCTGAAGGAGTTTGTATAGAATTTGTATTATTTCTTTAATAATTAGTGGAATTAACCAGTGAAGCCATCTGGGCCTGGAATTCTGTTTGTGAACAAGTTTTTAACTACAAGTTAATTTTTTTTAATAGATATAGGGCTCCTCAATTTATTTGTTTCTTCTCAGTGAGCTTTGGCAGTTTGTGTCTCTAAAGGTATTTGTCCATTTCACTAAGTTGTATAATTGATTGACATGAAGTCATTCATAACATTCCCTTACTGTCCTGTGAACATCTGTAGAATCTGTAGTGATGTCATGTCTTTCATTCCTGATACTGGTCATTTTGTGTCTGCTTTCTTTTCTTCCTGAGCACTCTGGCTAGGGGTTAATCAGTTTTACTGATCTCAGAGAACTAGCTTTTGGTTTCATTGATTGTTCTCTCTTTTTGTGTGTTTGTTTTCCGTTTCATTGACTTCTACTTTGATTTTTGTTAATTTCTTTCTTTTGCTGACTTTGGGTTTAATTTTACTCTTCTTTGTCTAGTTTTTTAAGGTGACAGCTGAGGCCATTGACTTAGACCTTTCTTTTTTTTTTTATATAGATGTTTAGTGCTATAAATTTCCACCTAAGCACGGTTTTAGAGCCATTCGCAAATCTGATATCTTACCTTTTCATTTTCATTCAGTTCAGACTACTTTCTGGTTTCCTTTTTAATACCTGCTTTGACCCAGAGGTTTTTTAGAAGTATGTTATTTAGTTTCCAAATATTTGGGATTTTCCAGAGATCTTTCTGTTACTGATTTCTAATTTAATTTAGTTGTTGTCAGAAAACATACTTTATATGATTAGAATGCTTTTCAACTTATTGAGACGTACTTTATGGCCCAGAATATGGTCTACTTCCTAAGTGTTCCTTGTGCCTTTAAAAAAAAAATGCGTATTCTGCTGTTTTGGGGTGACGTGTACTGTAAGTGTCAGTTAGGTCAAATTGGTTGATAGTGTTGTTCAAGTCTTCTATATCCTTATGAATTTTCTCTTTACTTATTCCATCAATTCTTGAAAGGGAGATATTGAAATCTGCCTGTGATTGTAGGTTTGTTTATATCTCTTGCACTTCTTTCAGTTTTTGCTTCATGTAATTTGAAGCTCTGTTATTAGGTATATAAATGTTGGGGATTTTTATGTCCTGTTGATTAATTGATCTTTTTTAAAAATAAATTTATTTATTTTTGGCTGCATTGGGTCTTCATTGCTGCACGTGGGTTTTCTCTAGTTGCGGTGAGCAGGGGCTACTCTTTGTTGCGGTGCGTGGGCTTCTCACTGTGGTGGCTTCTCGTTGCGGAGCACAGGCTCTAGGCATGCGGGCTTCAGTAGTTGCGGCATGCAAGCTCTAGAGCGCAGGCTCAGTAGTTGTGGCACACAGGCTCAGTTGCTCCGCAGCATGTGGGATCTTCCCGGACCAGGGCTCGAACCCATGTCCCCTGCATTGGCAGGCGGATTCTTAACCACTGTGCCACCAGGGAAGCCCAATTGATCTCTTTATCATTGTGAAATGACCTTTTTTAAAAATTTATTTTATTGAAGATTTACAATGTTGCGTTAATTTCTGCTGTACAGCAAAGTAATTCAGTTATACATATATATATTCTTTTTCATATTCTTTTCCATTATGGTTTATCACAGGATATTGACTATCGTTCCCTGTGCTATACAGTAGGACTTGTTGTTTATCCATCCTATGTATAATAGTTTGCATCTGCTAATCCCAAACTCCCAGTCTTTCCCTCCCCCACCCCACCTCCCCCTTGGCAACCACAAGTCTGTTCTTTACGTTTGTGAATCTGTTTGTTTCGTAGACATGTTCATTTGTGTCGTAGTTTAGATTCCACATATAAGTGATATCATATGGTATTTGTTTTTCTCTCTCTGACTTACTTCACTTAGTATGATAATCTCTAGGTCCATCCATGTTGCTGCAAATGGCATTATTTCAATCTTTTTTATGGTTGAGTAATATTCCAATGTATATATATATACCACATCTTCTTTATCCATTCATCGTCAGTGGACACTTAGGTTGTTTCTATGTCTTGACTATTGTAAATAGTGCTGCTATGAACATAGGGGTGCATGTATCTGTGACATGACCTTTTCTATTACTAGTTATATTCTTTGCCCAGAAATCTACTTTGTCTGGTATTAATGAAGCCACTCCAGCATTTTTTGACTAAGTGGTGACATGGTGTATCTTTTTCCATCATTTTCCTTTTAATCTATTTGTATCTTTATAGTTAAAGTGTTTCTTGTAGGCAGCATATAATTAGGTCTTGCTTTTTTATCCAATCTGACAATTTCTGCCTTTTAATTCAGATTTAAGACCATTTACATTTAATGTTATTATTGACACGGTTTGGTTTACATTTGTTGCCTTGCTGTTTGTTTTCTATTTGTCTCATTTGTTCTTTGTTCCTTTTTTCTTTTTTTCTGTCTGCTTTTGGATGACTGAATAATTTTTATGATTCTGTCTTAGCTCTTTTGTTGACTTACTAGCTATAAGCCTTTGTTTTGTTATTTTAGCAGTTGTTTTAGGATTTATGGTATACACTTTCCTTGTCACACTCTACCTTCAAGTGATGGTATCCCATTTCATGTACAGTATAAGAATCTTAGAATAATATGCTTCCATTTCTCTTCTTTCCAGCTTTGTGCTGTTGCTGTCATCCTTTTACTTTTATATATGTTATAAACCCCCCCCCAACTATTAATAGTTGTCTTTTAAAGAAATTTAAATAAGAAAAATCTTATATACTTACCCATATAGTTACTATTTCTTCATTCCATGTTGTAGATTTGTATTTCCATCTGTTTCATTTTCCTTCTGTCTGAAGAACCTCCTTTGACATTTCTTATATGGTGATTTTGCTGGTGATGAATCTTTCAGCTGTTGTATGTCTGAAATAATTTATTTTGTCTTCATTTCTTTTCCAACTTGTGTTGTGGTAAGATACACATAACAATTACCATCTTAACCACTTTTAAGTGTGCAGTTCAGTGGTATTAAATATATGCACCTTGTCATTCAGCCATCACCACCAACCATCCCCATGACTCTTTTCTTCTTATAAAACTGAAACTCTATATCCATTAAACAATAACTCCCCATTCTTCCCTCCCCCCAGACCCTGGCAACCATATTCTACTATCTGTTTCTATGATTTTAACCACTCTAAGTAACTCATGTAAATGGAATCATGCAGTATTTGTCTTTTTATGACTGGCTTACTTGACTTAGCATAATGTCTTCAAGGTTCATCCATGTTGTAGCATATTGCAGAATTTTCTTCCTTTTTAAGGCTGAATAAGATTCCATTGTATGTACATACCACATTTTGCTTATCCACTCATTTATCCATGGACACTTGGGCTGCTTCTGTGTTTTAGCTATTGTGAATAATGCTGCTATGAACATGGGTGTACACATAGCATTTCAAGACTCTGCTTTCAATTATTTTGGGTATATACCCAGAAGTGGAATTGCTGGATCACATGGTAGTTTTAATTTTTTGAGGAACAGCCATACTGTTTTGCATAGTGGCTGCACCATTTTAACATCCCCACCAACAGTGCACAAGGGTTTTAATTTTTCCAAATCCTCACCAACACTTGTTATTTTCTGGTTTTGTTTTGTTTTTAATAATAGCCATCCTAATGGGTATGAGGTTGCCTTCATTTTTGAAAGATATTTTCAGTGCGCATGGAACTCCAGGTTGACAGTTTTTTCCTTCGGTACTTTAAAGATGCTCCAGTATCTTTTTTTTTTTTTTTTAATAAATTTATTTATTTATTTAATTTTTGGCTGCATTGAGTCTTAGTTGCTGCGTGCGAGCTTTCTCTAGTTGCGAGCAGGGGCTACTCTTTGTTGCAGTACGAGGGCTTCTCATTGTGGTGGCTTCTCTTGTTGCAGAGCACGGGCTCTAGGTGCGTGGGCTTCAGTAGTTGTGGTACACAGGCTCAGGAGTTGTGGCTTCTGGGCTCTAGAGCTCAGGCTCAGTAGTTGTGGTGCACGGGCTTAGTTGCTCTGTGGCATGCGGGATCTTCCCGGACCAGGGTGTGAACCCATGTCCCCTGTGTTGCCAGGCAGATTCTCAACCACTGCGCCACCAGGGAAGCCCTCCAGTGTCTTCTTGCTTGCATTATTTCTACCAAGAAATCTCTCATCCTTATCTTTGTTCCTCTGTATGTAACTTATCTTTTTCCTCTGGCTGCTTTTAAGGTTTTATCTTTAAAACTAATTTTGAGCAATTATTACAGTGTGCTGTGGTATAGTTTTCTTCATAATTCTTGTGCTCGGGAGTCATATAATTTTTCATCAAATTTGAAATTTTGGAGGTCATTATTTCTTCGAATATTTTTCTTTCCCTTCCTCTCTCTCCTTTGAGGACCTGCTATTGCACATATGTTGGGCCACTTGAAGTAGTTCCACAGCTCAGCTCACTGATATGCTGTCCATTAAAGGCTTTTTTCCTCTGTGTGTTTCATCCTGGATAGTTTCTGTTGCTGTGTATTTAAATTCATCACTCTTCTTCTGCAGTGTCTAATTTGCTGTCAGTTCCAACCAGTGTATTTTTCATATCGAACATTGTGGTTTTCATTTCTAGAAGTTTGATTTGGATCCTTTTACTGCCTTTTAAATGTCTGTACTTTCTGCACATAGGGAATACAGTATCAATAATTATTTTAATGTCCTTGTTTGCTGATTGTAATATCTGTGTCAGTTCTGGGTCTGTTTTATCAAAACACATTGATGGATTATTCTCCTCGTTATGGGTTGAATCTTCCTGCCTCTTTGCATGCCTGGTGAACTTTGACTGGATTCTAGGCATCATGAATTTTACCTTGTGTGGGGTGCTGGATATTTTTGTACCCCTGTAAACCTTAGTGAGCTTCGTTCTAAGACAGAGCCGAGTTACTGAGAAACAGTTTGATCCTGTTTGGTGTTGATTTTTCAGGTGGGGCTGGAGCAGCATGTAACCTAGGGGCAATTATTCCCCGCTGCTCAGGCAAGAATATTCTGAGTACTCTACCCAGTGCCCTGGGAGTCATGAAGTTTTCCAGTCTGGCTTGTGAGAACAGATACTATTTCCTGCCCTGTGTGAGCCCCTGGCACTGTTACCTGCCAGGCTCTTCCCCTGGCCTCAGCCTCTGGTAATTTCGTCCTGTGTATGCACCAGTCAGTACTCAGTTGAATACTCGACGGGCACTCTTTGCAGTGCTTCAGAGTTTTCTCTCTGCAGTTCTCTCCTCTCCAGTACTCTGTCCTGCAGACTCTATTCACCTTGGTCTTCTAGGCCCCTCGACTCAGAGTCCACTGGGCTCTCCCTTCCTGCACCGCCTAACTCCAGGCAGTTAGCTGGGGCATTCATAGAGCTCACCCTGTTTGTTTCCTGTCAGCAATCATTAACTTGGCTGCCTGATGTTTACTGTGTTGAAAACTCCTGTTTCATATATTTTGTCCTTTTTTCCTCCAGGCAGCAGGTTATACTGGTTCTTTTCGCTCCATCTTGACTGAAAGCAGAAGTCCTCCTGATGGCGTATTCGTGTGTCCATTAAAAATCATGGTTTTTTTTTAAGCATAAACGTTGTTTTTTTATTATTATTATGTGTAACATAGGCAAAATTATTTAAGTCAATAAACTTTTAAGGATTTCCTTCTACTGCCGGTCACCTCAGTTCCTCCAATGTTTGGGTCATAATCTTCAAGATAGCCCTTTCAAAAAGAATTTTTGCTCAATACACAGTTGTCTTGTCAGTCAGTCCACAATTCTTTTAGTTGGGCTTCTTTGATCTACAGTGGAATATGGACACACTACAAAATTCCCCACCTGTATTCTTTGGGATCCAATTTCCCCAAGCAGTTTACTTTAGGACCGTGTTTAGGGTCAGAGGGGATGAATCTTCCTGGTTCTGAATTTTACACACCCTAGAAAAAGAGAAGCATTAGTTCCTATTGAAGATTATGTCAAATTGAACAGTATGAGAAACTATAGGAATACTGTATCAGTAGAAATACCAGGTCTAACATGCACAAAGCCAAGAAAACCAATAATGCCAGATACTGAATTAATATTGCCCTGTCCTTTGAACAAAAATCATGTTTTCCAGGAGCATTTAATGACAAGGGATCATGTCACAGTATAACACTAGATTTTTTTTTTAAAGTCTGTGTTATGTGTGTTTGCATTTGTGTGTGTGTGTGTGTTGTATTAAAACATAAAAATAGTAATATAGATATGCATGGGAAAAGACTAAAAGGAGATATACTCCAGTATTAACATTGATAACTTGGAAGAACTAGGATTAATGATTTTTGTCTTCTTTGTATATGCTGTTTCTTCCAAATAAATGAGTATTTCTTCTTCTAGAAGAAAAATAAACTAAATATTAAATATAAAGGTATTTGAAAGAACAAGATTAAACACTATCTAACCCAGCACCAGAAACCCCATTCACTGTAACTAAAGGTGGTGGAATGCTCTGGAAAGAGGCTGTAAAGCCCACATAGGAATCCCCATGTTGATTGTTTGGGAAGGTCTGGGATAACACCTTCTGTAGACAGAAGCCCCCATTAGGCCTGGCAGCCTCCTTGTGACCCAGGGTCTCTCTTCTGTGTCAGCAGATTGTCCGCGTGGAGCCCTTGGTGACCATGGGTCAGGTGACTGCCCTGCTGACCTCCATTGGCTGGACTCTGCCTGTGTTGCCCGAGTTGGATGACCTCACAGTGGGTGAGAACTCAGACAGACCTAGCATCAGAGCTGAGGAACCTCGGCCCACCTTCCATCAGGTCCAGGAGTCACCACTGTCCCGTATGTGACGGATGTCACCCTGTCTGCTCGTCCAGCACCAAAGACAGGGCACTCACTGCCTGTCAGTCCATGTCTGAACAGCTTATGTTATCAGAATGCACTTTTTTTTTTCCTGTACGTGGGCCTCTCACTGTTGTGGCCTCTCCCGTTGCGGAGCACAGGCTCCGGAAGCGCAGGC